ATTCAATACCAGCATTATTTATTTTACTTTTTGATTTAGTAAACCATATTTTAAATAGAGACCCCTAATAAGCTTAGAGAACATTCTGATAAATGGAAGATATTAAAACTCTAATTCTACATCTCTGTGTATTAAACATGTAAATGACTGAGCTAACAAAATGTTTTCACTGTCATTTTGCCTTCATTTGGATTTTTTTCTTTATTTTTGCAAAATAAAATATCCAATAGCTTGATTTGATTTATGATTTTTGAGTATTTTTCCAACTGTGAATATTATAAAATCTAGCACAAAGTATAATTTTGTCATATTGAAGAGGAGCTTCATAATTAAAAGTGCAAAAGTATAATTACTGAATATCAAAATTGAATCTTGTACGTAAACTGAGCTCCTATTTTTTAAATTTATTAGTCCATTCTTTCTTTTTGTAGGAATAAATTCCAATGTCTTTTTGTTATCATTTTGTTTTTAAGAATTACAACTTATAATGATTAAAAATCTGAATCAATTTTTCTCTGCCTGTTAAATACCTTAACTAACCTTAAACAAACACAATATAATTTTAGAGTTCTTGTTTACAAAAACAGTCTAATGTCATTGTGGGAAAGTTGGTTGACTTATAAAGTAGTGCTTGAAAAAAATTAAACATTTCTAAAAACTGATCAGTGACCAGCAACAGTGTTTACTGTCTTACGTTAGATTATTTTAGAATTCAACATTAATTTTATCCTTAAATATTGTAATTCACTCTAATTTTATTTACATAAAGGTATGTACAAATTTTGACTAGTCTTTATTCCAATTAATAAAAATCCCAGCTTTGTTATATATGCACCACAATCAATTCCTGCACCATAGATTTTTCTTTTAGTAAAAACATTTTACTGTAATACTCTGCTTCCCCAATATTTGTTCTCATTTTATCAATTATATCCACAATGTTTAATTTTTAAGCTAATGTGGCAGTGGCATTTATGATAAGGGTAGGCAATTCACTTTTTTTTTTTTTTGAATTTTGTTTTAATTTCTTTCTTTCTTTTTTTTTTAATTTTATTATGGCAATTCACTTTTGTTCTTTTTTTTTCCAGTGCTAGGGATGGAACCCAGTGCCTGGCACATGCTAGGCAAATGCTCTACCACTGTGCTACTTCCGCACCCTGACAATTAATTTTTGAGACAATAAACTTCCCATAACTATTTTTTTGGTTCTGTAAATTGGATTAAAAAATTAAATCATTATTAGAATTAACTGATTTTCTATTTGATTCATATGCTGACACTGATAAAAAACTGCCATCACTTTAACTGTTTGCAAACTCTTCTGCTAAAGGTGTCAACTCATAATAGCCATTGCTTTACTTTTCTTTTAGATCCAAAGAACCATAGAAATAAAACTGAGTAGAATTAATTGAAGATAGCTGTCCTTTTACCAAAAGGAAAAGTCATGCTACGTGGAGTGATATTTAAACACACCCAAAGCAGTTGTATGTATGAAGTCATTTATTTGGGCAGACTTTGAAAAACAATGACTAATTTTTTTTTTTGCATAGACATTGCTACTATGTCAGTTCTGTCTTCTGATTATCTTATGATTAGTGATAGCATGAAAGATTCTATGATAGATGTGGTATTTTGTATATGTTTATTGTCAACTTTCTTGAGAAGCAAAAAAAGATCAATATTTAGTTAATATTAAACTTGAATACATAATTAAGCCCTTGTTTATTTCTTTTTCTTTCAGCAGTATTAAGGTTTGAATTCAGGACTTTGCATTTGCAAGGCAGGCACTCTATTGCTTAAGCCACTTCTCCAGCCCCAAACCCTGTTTCTGAAGGGGTTTACTGTGAAAAATAAGCATAACCAAATACTAAAAAAGAGTTATAAATATTTATCAGACAATGAATAACAAAATTGCTGTTGCAAAAGCATTCAGATGCTTTGAGGCACTGCTTCTCAGAGTCTATTTCCCAAACACATATTTCATTTACATTTAGTCTGTAATTCCCTACACATCCCACCAACCCATGGACTGGCATCTTGGCAGCTGCATTCAATGATGGCTGGGTTTGCAGCAGCAGACACAGCCCAGCACCACCAGTACAGGGAGGAGTTTCCTGTTTCTAGCCGTTGTGCCAAGTGCCATTTTATCAGCCATTGCCCTGCATGTGGCAAATGGAGATGTAAGTTTCCGTGAAACTAGCAAAGCTGGGGAAGGAGAAATGGGCTATATTCTAGAGTTTAGCATGTGTTACAATGAGAACTTCGTTCACTGCACATACCTTTTAAAACTTACTATGGAAGAGATTTCACAAGTTGAAGAATGATGTAGAGGCTTATAAAACCTCTCATGATGCAACTATTAACAATCATGCTTCTTTAACAATGAAAAATCCAGGATACATGCAAACCTGGACTGAACACTTAAACAACAGTCCAAGGGAGAAAACAGAATACATGGCCTCCTAAAGCAGGAATTGTCTTTGATTTCAGAATGTGAAATCTCTTAGCCTTGTTTAAGCTTCCTTCCACATTTCTTTTGAAAATAACCCTTATTTTCAATTCTTGCTGTATCTATCTTATGCTTATTACAAAATGCTTGCATTCTTTATTATAATCTATTCACTGGTCTAGGACTCAGATTGTCCTTTTATCCATTCTCTTTGCAACTACCATATTTTTTCATCTCCAGAAACTTTTGTCTCATTATACCCATGCTAAAAAATCTTAATGGCACCATGTTACCTGTCAATTACAAAGTTCTCTTTCAACTATATTCTGTCCCTGTTTTGCACTTTCAGATTCATTTCTCATTCCTCTCTTACATGAATCCTGTACCCCAACTTGATCACTCACTGTTTTCTAAACATTCTTGGTATTTTCTATTTAAGCATTTACTTCCATTTAGAGTCTTTTGTCCAATCTGGATCCTACATGTTAAAATCTTACTTATACTTTTAAGCCCCAGTATCATCTTCAAGAATCCTTTGATTCCTTATCCAGAAATGTTCTGTTTCTAGGCTGAGGTTCTTTAGTAGTGTGGAAACTACTGATGGTGTATTGGATACATATCTCCAATTCAAGAACTGGTTTTCTGCAAGCTTTTGAAGGACAAAGATTTCTTTCATCTCACAATGCTTTGTAATGCCATACAGCATTGTTTGAACATGCCTTTATCACTTTCATTGAGTGGTCTAATAAATGAATTGCCAATGAATGGATCCTAAAGTGATATTGTATAGAGTTTTTCTCTAGAAAGAAAATACTTTTACAATGGATTGGGGATGTTTGACGACAGGGAATGGTTGAATTTAAGCCTATCTGTGGGAGAAATCCTTGTGACTGGGATGGCCTTTTGATCTGTAAAAACAATACAAATACCTAGCTAATTTCTTTTACCTTTCCACAACATCAGCCTTACTTATTAAGCTTTGGGCTTCCATAACTACTAAACAAGACCAATTGTATGCCATTTTGATCACTCTGATTTCCAGTAACAAAAGAAGGAAATATTCAATAAAGACAAAAAGTAAGTGTTTGTGTCTATGTTTCTGTGTCTCAAAGAAAGGATTTACATGACATTAATAACAATGGCATTTGTGTGGGGAATACAGTGGCTTTGGAGGAATATACAAAAAGACTTTTGCCCTTATTCTATGTACTCCTTAATTGTTTAAGTACTTTTTAATGAAGCAGTATTATGGAAAACAGGTAACACTAAGGGGAAATCACATATGAGAAAGGGAGTATAAAAGAAGGAAGTTAAGAAAGTGAATATGGTTCATGTACCTTCTATAACAATGAATAAAGAATTTTTAAACCATAATCACCATAAGAAGTGGGACTAAGGTAGAAAGGAGAAAAATAGAGGGGATGAACCAACTTGGGTTATAACACACATATACATGGAAAAGTAACAATGAAACACCCTGCATAGCTGTCTTAAACAAACACTGTCATTTTTTTTTTTTTTTTTACAAAAGTGAAGAATAGGAAAGCAAAATAGGTCCTGTCTAAGGTAACAGTAGGAAAGGAAAGGATGTAAGAAAAGGGTATGGGAGGGTGAATGTGGTAGAAGTATTATGTACACATGTATGTAGAAAAATGAGACCTGTTGAAACTATTCCAGGAATGGGGGGAGGGAATATAGGAGAATGATGGAGGGGGTGAATTTAACTACAATACATAAGAACTTTGTAAATGTCACAATATATCCCCAGTACAACAATAATAAATAAATAAAATTACAATAAAAATACTGTTATAATAAGTACATATTTAATATGTGTAAAATAGAAAAGTGATAATTTTTTAAAGAATTCTTAGGTAATGGCACTATGTATATGATATACTAGATATACAAACAACCTTCAGGGAGTTCTTTGGCTCTCCCAAGAAATAAAGAGAATAAAAATTCAGCTCAACACTTTTCATATATTATTCTCTGTAGTCATTTTTGAAAACCTTACCAAGATATACATAATATATATACATATATATAGTTATTTGACAGTGAAATGGAAAAACATTGAAAGAAGTTGCGTAGGTTCTTTGTAGATCATATAAACTCATGTAAAGAGTTTATAATATAAAAATCAGTCAGTTCACTAGCATAAGATCAGCAAAATATTGCAACTAAAATCAGCAAAACTATTAAAATAATTTGATATTTAATTCTTTAAGGATCAAGGAAGTGTTAGCCATAAAACAAAATGAAAGAACACCTGGAAGGCAAAGAGGTTGAAAGATTAGAAATTAAAAAAAAAAAAAAAAAAAAGCAAATGGTGTGCTTAGTGTTAAGAAGGGACTTCAGCAAGTGGCTAGAAACTCATTTGAAAACAAATACAGAGTCTGTGTAATTACAATGAGCCTGAAGATAAGTTCAGCATTTATATATCTCCTGGGAAGCTTTGTGAGTCAGAAACATAAAACCAAAGTACAGGGAGGTTATTAAAATGTTATTTCCCGTTGTATCCTCGAACTTGAGAAGAAAATAAACATACCGATTACTTGCATGGCTGGTTCCACGTCGGTTGTGGCCTCTTCCAACAAGGCCAGCAACTTGGCTGATATGTGGTGCACAGATTCTATGTTGCTGAAGAAACTGTCCACGTCCAGCCTATCAATCTGGAGAAACACACACAATGAGCACCAGGCAATGGGAAGAGAATGGGTTTTCTCTTGCTAAGCCATAGACATTTTATTTGACACATGTTGCCTCCATCAATCATTTCTATAAACATTCTTACTAGGATTTCTAGAGTAAATGTGCAAATTTGCACCCAGGAAATGGGGTTGTATGTTACCTCTAACATTTTAAACTATGTTTCAGGTTGAGCGTACAGCAACATACCTCAATAAAAACCAGAATGGGAAATAGAATCAGGTGTAACTGCTATTTCTGTAATGTCCTCTATGAAGGCATGTTCTAGTGACTAAGAATTTAAAATATGCTTTCACAGCTGAAGCAGGACCTTACCTTTGTCAAGCAATTATTTTCAAAGCTGTCTTAAAATCATAGATATTCTAAATGGGATGACAAATAGATGTGCTGGGCTGCTTCTTCCTCTTTTTTTTTTTTGAAATAAATATAAGTGGAAATCTTCACCAGACATATACAAAGGATGGATTTATCATATTTTGCAATTTCATGTACTCCTTTAGTGTGATCATTCTTAGACCTTATACATGGTGCTTATATTTTATTTTTTCATTTATTCATTCTTTCCTGAAATATTTCTAGAGTACCTTCTATATTCCAAGAACTGTAATAGAAGAGAGATTCTTGCATAGGTAGTGGGTGATTAGTAGATGGATAGTCAACTGATTATCTATCTATCATCTATCTATCTGCACTCTCATTTTGCTGGGTCTTATTCAAAGTTTGTTCCTTGAATTTAAGTCAGCTTTCCTTTCATAATGTTAATAATGTCTTATAGTGTTAATCAGAAGGAAACTGCATTGGTGCAGGCTCTCCTGGGCTACAGCAAGGAACAGAGGTAGTTACTTTGTGTGAAGTCATAGGAAAATAACCAATTCAGGGCAAGGAGAAGCTTCAAAGGTAATGAGCAGAATTGCTGGCAGGAAACTAGGTCCTCAAAATTAGGGGCAACAGAGACATGGGGTGTTCAGTTAAAGAGAAAAGGCCAAGAAATTAAGGGAAATTAGTAAGAAGGGTTGTAAGATAAGGGTTAGACCTGAAGGAATTCTGGAGATGAAGGGCAACAACTGCAGCTTCTTTCCCATCTTTCTTGGTTGTGCCAGGTCTATTTGAGAAGGAAGAATGAGGCAGCTGCTTATCTTTTTTATCTTATTTCTTTTTGATGTTGGCCCATCTGCTTTCCATATTGGACACAGCTATTATTTTGGTCAGGATATTCTGTCACTGAAGTTGGCCGTGTGATTTCACATTGCAACTTTTTAAACCACGGTGAGTGTGGTTTAAACCACTGTCATTTGAAATCCAATCCATACAATGCATGCAGTGGTTTATTTCAATATAAGATTAGATAGCTTTTTTTTTTTAACTGTGTTTAAGTATTATGAAATTATTGGGACTGGGGTGTAGCTCAGTGATAGAATACTTGCCAAACATTCATGAGGCCCTGGGCTCTGTACCAGCACTGAACCATATTAATTATTACATTGAAATCACTACTGGCTCTTAAGGTCTTTGCACCAGTGTTTTCTAAGCTGTTCCCTCAATAAGCATCTGCTATTAAGGGAGAGAGCACTATGTCTCTTGTCTGAAATCTAGGCTATTCAGAACTTCTAATTTCTATATTACAAAGTATATTTAATATTGTAAAAATATCTAAAAGGCATTTAATGGTTTATGGCTCTTTTGTTATCACTTATAAAATTATCATTTAGTGATAAATTATTGTCATCAATTCCTCAAAAGTCACATATCTCTAATAACCAATGATTTAAGGCACTCCTATTCTAAAGAATTGCCTTCTATGTTGGGTATTACTTAAATCCACAAAGGTGTAACTTTGTATAGGGTAAGATATGTTTTCTAAAACTTACATATGAACCAAGTTATGTAGATTGATTTATTTTAAATGCTCTGGCTACTTATTTTTACGAGTTACTTTAAATGAGTCCTTCTAAAGTGTACATTTTATACCTTAATTTACTTGCTTCATGAGATAAATGATTAAATATAATTCATGTAGTGTATTCCTATCATTTTTTTATTTTGTGGTGGAAACTTTAGTCTGTGAAGTTGAAGTACTTCATTTTTGTTATTTCATATATTATCCCAACTTCTCTGTAAGGTTATGAACCAGTTTGCAGATGGGGAAACTAATGAAGAATGAGGGGAAGTGCTCTGCTCAAAATTATATAGAGGTTCAAGACAGAGCCAGAACCAGAAACTGACCTTTCAGTCCTATACCTCAGTCTATTACCAGAAAGCACTAGTAATGGAGTACTTTGTTTTTTCTGTTGAGACTTTTTTTTTTTTTGCTTATTGCTGAGTTTTTCAGCAAGTTGTCACTTTTACAATTCATTTCCCAAGGTCACTCTTCCTGCATATCTAATTCATATTATAAATCCATTTAGCAAAAATCTAATTCTACATTCTATCTAAAATCTTAGCTCAGTGCAACAGATACTAAATAACAAAAACTTAGGTTTTAATTCCATTACTTCCTGAAGGACAGAAAGGATTAAAACATCAATTGGCCTGGTTTCAATCATATCCCCGTGGGCCCGTGAGGATTCTGTGAATCATAAAATGAATTCACATCCAGTCACTGCCATGCCCAGGAACAAACAAATGTCTGCTCCAAATCGGCTTTTAAAAGTGATAGACGATATTACAATTACTGATACAAATTCACGGAAGCATCCGCATGTATTTATTAATCATTTACTAGAAACAGGCAGTGTTCTAAGAGGTTAAAATTAAACTGTTTTAAATAGATTAAAATTTATTTTTTAAAAAAGATTTAGTTTAAGTAAACACCACTCTAAGTCAAATCAATATATAGTAATTCAGACTTGCAAAACATAAAAATTAAAGGTCAGTATTTACATTGTCAACTTAGTTTGTTGCCTTATAAAATTATTCCTCCTGGGATTTACTTCAAATAGCAAGTTTCCATTACATTTAAATAATCAAAAGATTTCTTTTTATTTCCTTTATTCATATGTGCATACAATGATTGGGTCATTACTCCTCCCTTCCCTCACCCCCTCCCTTTCCCCCACCCCTTCCCTCACACCCCCACCCCCTCGCTTTCAAGCAGGAATTCAAAAGATTTTTAATCAGGTGTGTGGTGCCTCCATCTTTGTTCTTTTTGCTCAAGATCGCTTTTCCTATTCAGGGTCTTTTGTGGGTTCATATGAATTTTAGGCATTTAAAAAATTTCTGTGAAAAACATCTTTGGAATTTTGATAGAAATCTCATTGAATCTATACAGTGCTTTGGGTAGTATGGACATTTTAACAATATATTATCTGTCATGACATTGATTTGAGCAATGATTTTTTGATGGGGATACTAAAAGGATAGGCTACAAAAGTGAAAACAGACAAATGGCATTACATCAAACTAAAAAGCTTCTGCACAGCAAAGAAAACAATCATCAAAATAAAGAGACAACCTATAGACTAGAAGAATATATTTATAAAGCATGTACCATATAAGGGGCTAAAATTCAAAATGTATAAGGAACTCAGACATCTCAATAGTAAGAAGACAACCTGAATAAAAAAAAAAATAGACAAAGGACTTGAGCAGACATTTATCAAAATAAATCATAGTACCATCCAATAAGTATATGAAAAAATGATTAATGTAACAAACCATCGCAAAATGAAATTAAATTCACAGTGAGATGTCATTTCACACCTGTCAGAATGACTATAATCCAAAAGTCAAAAGATGACCAGTATTGGCAAGGATATGGAAAAAAGCTTGTATGCCACTGGTGGAAATGTAAATTAGTACAGCCATTATGGAGAACCATGGAGATTCATCAAGAAAATTAAAACTAGAACTTATGATCCAGAACCCCCCACTTGGTCTGTATCCAAAGGAACTGAAATCAGAATGTCAAAGCAATATCTGCACTTTCATGTTTCTTCCAGCATTATTTGCAAAAGCCAAGATATTCAATCAACCTGAGTGCCCACCCAATGGATGAATGGATAAATATGGACAAAATGGGCAATGGGAAAAAAACAGACAAATATCAGAGTGAAATACTATTCAGCCTTAAAAAAAGAGTTATATCCTGCATTTGTTAGAACATGGGTGAACCTGGACATTACATTAACTGAAAGAAACCAAGCACAGAAAGCAAATATTACATGGTCTAACATGTGCACCTTACAAGAAGTCGAATTTACAGCTATAAACAGAGAGTATGATGATAGTTACCAGAGACTGTGGGTAGGAAGCCTTGGGGAGATGTTAGTTAAAGTCATAAAACTTTTGTTAGACAGGAGGAATAAGTTCCAGAGATCGATTGTTCATTATTGTAACTTCAACTAATAGCAATATATTGGATACTAAAAAGTAGATAAGAGAGTAGATTTAAAGTGTTCTGTTGCACAGGTTCTGCCTGGAGGGGGGTGAGGGGCAGGGGGGGAAGAAATGGCCCAAACAATGTTTGCACATATAAATAAATGAATAAATTTAAAAAATTTTTAAAAATATATAAATAAATAAAATAAAATGTTCTCCCCACACACACAAAGTGTGAGCCAAATCCTATGTTAATTGCTTGATTTAGCCATTTCACTCTACATGCATATACTAAAACATCGTATTTTCTGTAATAAATATATACAATTTTTACTTATCAATTTAAAAAGTAGTGAACTTATGGTAAACATAAATATGCAAAATTTTCCTAGTATCAAGGTATTAATCCAAAGGCTATAATCACGGATATAGAATTACTTTGTATCCACAGGAAACTTACAAAAATTCCTTGAAGTTTCTTGCTTTTATATCCTAGCCCAAGCCTTCATTTGCTCAAAAAAATCCTTTGCCTTCATATAACCTTATAAGAGTCTACCCATTTGAAATAAAATCTGGCAATTATGTACATGTTTAAGAGTTTTGTCTATCTCCCTGCCCTTTCTTTTACACTGGTGGAAGAGGGTGG